ATTCTATTCTATTCTATTCTATTCTATTCTATTCTATTCTATTCTATTCTATTCCATTCCATTCCATTCCATTCCATTCCATTCCATACTGTTCTTTGGTCTGAGATGGAGGCAAAAATAATAGGATGTTCTTCTATCTTTTTCTTTTTGGATTCAAGTGATCTGAAATATACATAATTCATATTAAATTATTCACTACAGAATTAATTTCCCATATTTTGTATCAATCCATAATTCCTATCTGTCATGTTCTACTATTGAATTCTGGTTTAGCAAGCATAATTGCTAAAATTAAATTCCAACCCTAAAGCAAATCCACTTTGTTGTAGCTTGAATTTCTTTCACTTCCTATGTATCTTTGTCCTCCCTTTCTCCTTCCCCCTTCATATAATCCCCATATTTGGTAAAAATTATGTAATGTAATGTAATTACATAAATTATGTAATTTCATAATTCTCTGTATATCCACCTTCCTTACATTGACCTGGAGGTATAAGTAGTTGCTTTAAATGCTGTTCAAAGGGATATGTATTTTATATTTGAGATGTGTCAGGTTATACACTGGAAAATGTGACAGCAAACTTGCCTTTTACTATATCCATAGAGAATAGGAAGTAATACAAGTCCATTTTTTTGCTTCTTACCATTCTAATAAAACACATGGAGCAACTGTAATTAGAACATAAAATAAACTTCTAGAGAAAATCTGATCTATAAAACTAGTTATATTTAATGATCAAAAGACATTTCAATTCAATAACTAGATGTCATGCATGAAATACTGCTGATTTTAACAGAAATCACCCAAGAAAGGGAGGTTTCCGGTTTGTCGGCTTTGCAAGCGGTAGGGATTCGCGAAGCTGCGCGATCCCTGCTGCGCTAGCCGTTTTTGGGGCTCCGATCCGAAAGGGTGCGGAGCAAGGCTGCCCTGCAGGGGCAGCTGAAGGTAGGGGGGATCCAGAAAAGGGTTTGGGGGTATTGCAGACCCCCTCCCTGGCCGGCAGAACCTCCTTTTACCAAGACGGCGTAGCGGCGGTCTGTAATGGCCGCCACAAAGAAGCTGGCAGCTGGGCAATTATGCGCAGGAGGAAGAGGAGAAAGTTTTTAAAAGTGAAAGTCTTCTTGGTCGATCCAGGACTCTGAGATATATTTAATTCAATTCCTGGAAGTGATGGCTTTTTGGATGATTCTTTCCATAAGAGAAAGTAAGCGGCAATTCTGAGGTGCTGAAAGGAAAGTTTACTCTCCCCCCCGACGGAATTAATAAATGGATATTGAGAAACCTGTTTTTTTTTTCCAGGTAAAACTAGCTTTATGGGATAAGTCGGAAGGGAGAGGACAAAAAATATATTTATCTGGCTGGATTTTGTTGGAAGAGATGCCTTAAGGATTTGGAGACAGAATTTTTTTTTTAATAAGGCTTCAAAACACAGATTTGGATTTTCTTTTTTCCTTTGTCTGATACTACCCCTGGAAGAGAAAGTGGGATTTTTGGCTTGGCTTGGCTTGATTGAGGATTGTGGACTTTGGGATTGTCTTACTTTTCTTTTGGAATATTTTGGTTGGAGTAAGAAGAAAGAGGGAAAAAAGAAAAGAAAAGATTTATAATGGCTTTCTCCCTTGAGGAACTGAGGGATGAATATGAGCAAACAAAAGCAGCCTGTAAAGATGGTATGGAAAAAGCTTTTCTATTTTTAGAAATGGCGCTGGTTAACTATGAACAGACAATGCGACAGATGGAATTACAACAAGAAGAAGACGAAGACACCATCTTTAATGAATCCCAAAATTTACCTAAGGAAGAAGGAAGGAAGAAAGCGAGGAAAATGAAGGACTTAAGATCTAAAAAAACATTTAAGAAAGAGAAAAATATGATGCAAAATAAATATAATGATAGCAAACAAGAGAAAAAGGGAATACAACAGAGAAGGGATGACAGCAAGACAGAGGTTAGAAGAAGGTGGGGTAGGAAGATCGGGTGGGGGAAGAAAGAAAGGGGAAAGGCGGAGAAAAGCCACAAAGTTTTAAAATTGGATGGGAAAAGAGGAATCTTTTTCAGGGATAAAGGGTAAAGTATAAATTTTCTTAAAAAAGATTTTGCAAGGTACATAAGACGGTATTGTAATATTTGTATTAGAAATAGAAAATTAGAATGGTTTAAGAGTTAATAAGAAGTTAAAATGTTGAAATGTTTAATAATGATTGATTTTTAAAATGTAATAAAATATTGAAGGGAAAGGCATTTAGAATGTTATAAGATTTATTATTTAGATTTATTATTTAACTACGTATTTAGGAGGATACTATGTATTTAAACATTTCCGATTTATTACTCTGTTTTTATTGTTATTAAAAGTAAAAATTAATTGATAGAATGTACCAAGCAGAATCAGATTGGATATTAGGTGTCATTTTAAATGTTAATCTAATATTTAGGGAGAGGATAGAAAGGCATCATACTCTGATTAGAGATTTCAGGAGAAATTCTTTTTTTTTTTTCAGTACAAGGAATGAGATAGAGTGATAATAAAGGATGGGCAAAAGATACAAATATAATGATTTAAATTAAGATGGATTGAATAAGATAGAATTATGAAGAGTGGAATGTGTGGAGAAGTATATATAGAAGATACAGAATGGTAAATAAAATAGGTAATGATCTGTAAGATGAGCATGAATATAATTAAAGCCCATATAAAGAGAGGTACCGGGGGCCAAGTTACTTTACTAAAAGATTTTTTATATGTTTGTTTGTGTTTGTTTATGTTTTTGAGAAGTATTGGTGAAACCTTTTAGAAGCATAGAAAGAAAATGACGATAATCAAGTCAGAAAGAAATAGAGGACAAGAGATGTTTTTATGTTCATTTAGAAATGGTTTAAAATAGAATTGTATTGTATAAGATAAGGTTTTATCTGACTTGTAAAATTTATAATGGAAAAAGGTTCAAATATGTAATGGTTGATGATGATTTGTTTGTTTTTGAAATTAATAAAACTTGTTTTTTTTTTTTTTAAAAAAGAAATCACCCAAGAAAGGAGGAACAAGTCCATTTTTAGTTTTAACAATAAAAGATCTTATTTTTTAAAAAAAATCAGCCATCAGAAAAATAATAAGAGGCATGCTATTTTACATGATTTATTTTTAAAAATACTATCAAGAACAAATATTTCTTCACCAATGTATGCATTTCTCTCCTCTACCTGCATTCCAGCTGTCTTTTATATGCAAACAATCTTTCTTATCTGTAATGTATTAGGTTTTTTTCCCCTGGAAAGGGCACACAATTGGCTTTTCAATTGTAAAAATTTAGTTTAAAGTTTACTGAAGTGTCATTTTATACAGCAATGTTGCCAATATCACATACAGTAGTACCTCAGTATTTGACTGCTTCAAAACTCATCAAATTTGGTACTTGATGCATTTTGATGCAAGAATGTTGTTATGTTATTTGTAGCTTCTTTTGTATTTGTTTCACTGGAAAAGGAAGAGGGGGCTGGCTGTAGAGGGCAGACAGGAAATCGGCCATGCTGGGAAGGTCATTGACATAGGAAAAATGACAGGTCAGAGGTGGTATTCAGCAGGTTCTGAGCAGTTCTGGAGAACCAGTAGGGGAAATTTTGAGTAATTCAGAGAACCAGCAAATATCACCTCTGACTGGCCCCTCCCCCATCTAGTCTCTGCCTCCTGAATCCCAGCTGATAGGCTGGATCTTCTTTTGTTGCTCTGCACAGGAGAACAGAGCTGGAAAGCAGGTTAGAGGGGTGGGGAAGGAATGGGATTTTGCAGTAACCTTCCCCCAGGAGTGGGGGGGAATGGAGATTTTATAGTATCCTTCCCCTGCCATGCCTACCAAGCCATGCCGACCAAGCCATGTCACTCCCACAGAACCGGTAGTAAAAAATGTTGAATCCCACCACTGGGACAGACAGAAAGTTTTTCCTAGTCAAAAACAAAGAGTCATGTGGTAAGTCATGTGGTTTGTTTGGCACATTTAGTTTTTAGTACCCCTTGTCCTCCCAGAACCAATTTAAGTCAAGTACTGAGGTAGGTAAAAATAAAAATGGTATAATGTACCAATTTGTAAGTGCATCTCTTTTACCCTGCTCTTTTTGGAGGAAAAGCAGCCCTCTTGAATCTTTCAACATCACTTTTGAAAAAAATATTATGGTAGATTAAAAATCATGTCAACATGATTGATGAGTTTCCTAGGTTTACAATAACCATATATCCTTTCTTATAAAAGACAGTTCTTTCATCAAGAAAGCGGTCCTTTTGTTCATTTGTCAAAAACTCACTTTTGTTGTTTATTTGGGTCATTTAAATTTTACCATACAAATGGTACCATTTAATGCACAGTCTCTTACATTCATGTGAACAAAGTGGAACTTGAATTGTTTTCCTAAAATATAATCACATTTACTGTTTGATTTTAGATATTTTTAGTATTAGTATTTTTGTAAAGTTTTTCTTGGTTTTTGCTCTTGAATTTACTTTTGTAAAGCTGTACAGATAAACAATTAAAATGTTTTTTTCCTTATGAACCTCTTGCAGATTTGTCCCTTTTCAGCTTTGTCCTTTATTTATTCCAATCATATATGGTCACTGTACCTATAGTCCATATGTGAGAAAATGCATTGTGCATATGAATAGCACTTTCTGAGTTTCAACCTCCCTTCTTTCCTTCTTTCCTGCCAAACATTTACTTAGCTTCTCTTTCCTGGAATTATGCAGTGGGATCTATCCATGGGATCTTGCAAAAAGCTGTGACAAGTATACAATTTTATTCCATAGAGTTCTTGAAGATTAGAGTTGTGTAAAGTTTTGACTCAGAGATTTGATTAGAGGGAGATTTGTATGACTCACTATAGTAGCATTGTGGAAAAGTACGACAATGGGGGTGGGTGGGGAAGAATAGATGACATTTTCCTCTGTTTTTTCTGTGTAAAATAGTTCTCTTATTTAGCTGTCTTCACAGCTTCTGTTGCAGCTTGACTTAAGAGTGTTATCTCTTTTCTCTAGAAGTGATTTGCCATCTCCAAGGTCAGCCAGATATGCAGGGAGGTTTTGCTGCTTCATAATACCAAGTAGCTAGCTGATTGGCAGGAACAATGGATCCTTAATTAGAAGTATGAATAGCTCCAATAGAATGTGATACTGTTTCATATTAAAAGTAATTTTCTTTAATTTGGTTTGGTTCAACATGTTCTTTCAGCTTCTACTTCATTTGTGAGTTCATTGCCTCCAAATGCTGCCCACAATTTATTGTGGCAAAACACTCACACCTTTTGTTTAAATTTTCATATACAGCATTCTGCAATCTTTCTGGCACCAGGAAACCAGTTTTGGAAGAAAAATTGTCTTCCGTTTGCCAGAAGGGGGATGGTTTCCCACACAAACTAGATCCTGTCCATGCACAGATGAAACTTTGCTTGCTTACCTGCTATTTGCATGGACTGGTTTTTAAGAGGCCAAGGAATGTACTGGTCCACAGGTTGAGGATTAGGGACCCCTGCTCATCTAGAATTAGCAAATTGATTTGATTTCAGGTACTTCTGGAAAAAAATGAGATTTACTTTACAAACTTTTATCAAGTCAAATTAAACCCTTAAATCAAATCTGCTAATAATTTGAATTGCAAATCCAACTGAAGTGATTCATCTGTCTTAAGAGAATGACACAGTTGAGTCAACTCTTCACTAATTTATGTACCTCTATTACTTATTTAATAAGGAACCCTTTCCAGAAAGCCCATGTGATTTGTTCAGAGTCAATATAGGCAACCTAAAGCCCACGGGTGATTCTGGAATCCATTTTAAGGTCGCAGAGCAAGTGAAACTAATGTTTTTTAACCCAGTTTTAATATATGTGGTATTTGACAGAAACGGGTACCTTATGTCTCTACAAGGCACAATGTGTACCACTAGACAAAAAGTAGTATCCATTGTTGGCTTACGGTGTTTATTCAAATACAATAAGACACAAAAATTAGAGCTTTCTAAGTAATGCACTTTAGTCAGCTTACAAAGTCTAGTAATAACTAACTAATCATGGCATCTGAAATTCAACAAGGGTAGCATCATTCCCTCCCAGTTTGCCTCTTGTATAGTTCTGCTAGGCCTATGAACTGGCGACTCAAACAGAATAACTATAGGTAAGTAATACAACACTGTGAAGAAGAGTACCAAGCTTCCTTGCTCAAATATGTCAGGATGGACAAGATGATGTCCATCTAGAAGAAAAACTTGCTCATTACAGAAATATCTTTCACTTTTTGGCATTACTTTCTACACTTCAATTCAGAATAAAAAAAATTACAGAAACCTGTTAGGCTCATGCCAGCTTGAGTTTTTAATCACAATTGTAACAGTAGGAAAACTAAATACAAATGTCCAGGAGAAGTAAACTAATTAGTTAGGGCATCAACTGAAACTGGGTCATCTTTCTCTTCTTCTTGTGGCTGATGCAATTTGCAATAGCAAAACTGAAATACTGCTACTGAATAGTTCATTATTCTGCTTTTGTTCTCACTCGCTTACAATCTATTTCCTACTCTGTCTATACACTGCCTTGCCTTTAGTGGTGGCAAAAAAGGAGAGAATAGCAAGGCAGTTCCTGCTGCTTCCTGAGTGCTCATTGTGAAAGCTTCCTTCTCTCTGGCCAACTCTTGATTTTTATTTTTATTTTAGCCTAGCATTTCCCCCAAAAGTACAAGGACTACTTTTTTTTTTTTGGGGGGGGGGGGGGAGGATGAAAAGATCAACGACTACAATAAAAATTCCTGATCAACTCCCGATCTCTGCCTGAAAATTCCAGAGCATCCCCTATGGTTTTCCATTACCCACTGTGATCTATAAGCTCATTTTGATTTCACCATGTACCTTCTTCTTTATTTCTTTTGAAGGATGAGACCAGAGAGTCTTATAAAACCCTTGTTCCCTTCCCTGCATTTGTTTATGGTAGTGATTTTAAACCTTCTACTTAGTGTGGAAACCCAAGGAAATAACAGAAACAGGAAATTTGGAGTACAGACTTGACTTACAGCCATTCATTTAGTGACCATTTCAACAGCCCTGAAAAAAAGTGTTTTAGGACTGGTTTTCACACTTACAACCATTGCAGCATCCCCATGTATCACATGATCAAAATTTGAGCACTTGGCAACTTATGATAGTAGCACTGTCCTGGAGTCATGTAATCACCATTTGTAACCAGCTTTTGACAAGCAAAGTCAATGGGAAAAGCCAGATTCACTTAATGACTGCATGATTCACTGAATAACTGCAGTGATTTGCTTAATCACTATGGCAAAAGGGTCATAAAATGAGGCAAAACTCACTTAACAACTGCTTTGTTTAGCACTTGAAATTTTGGGAGTAATAGTGGTTGTATGTCATGGACTACCTGTATCTAGATGTAATATAAGATTTCCTGTTTACTTACATGGTCAAGAACCCATTAAAGTTGCCTTAGGAGTTCATTTTTATTGATTGTTGTTATAGTTGAACTATATTATTACAGTTCATTGATTACTGGCATTATGTCACAGTTGCCATTTTCCTAACATTTGTCTGAAAAGCCATGAATTGATGAAAGAAAAATGAAAAGACATAGAAACATTAAACTTCATTCAGTGAGTTAGCCTCTACTGTCCTTATCAATACTCCAAACACTTTGATGCCTTAAACAAGCAAAGGAGCACAAATGAGTTGTTTCCATAGCCTACCCTGATTTACTTTTAAAATTTTGAAAATCCAATTGAACACCCAGGATGAGCTGCCCAGGCAATGATCATATAAAGACGCTGAGTGATGCCACTTTATAGTTTTACTTTTGCTCCTGTGTGTAGGTCAAGAGATCTTCCAAGCAGACTAGAAGGCCTTGGAGGTCTCAACACTGTTATTCTGTTATTCTTCTCAGGAAGTTCATTGGGTGACTCTGAGCCAGTGACCCTCTGCTCAACTACAAAGAAGAAAATAGGAGAAAGATTTACAGTAAATGCTGCATTGAACATCTGAGTGAAAGACAGGAAGAAATTTGAACAACCAAGCAATTTTTTTTTAAAAAAAAAGAAAGCATGAAAAAAGCAATTGAATAGCCTGTATTTCCTTCCATGCTTCAATCCATTAAAGCTGCTTTTTTCCCTCTTTCACTGGCATCCAAATAGTCTGGGAAGGTTGTCAACTAGATTTCATGCCAACTGCTTCTTCCTGGCAACCTATTGTCTCCAGCTTCTGACGATTAGAGATAGAGTGCCTTTTAGGCAAAAGCATTTTAATCATGCCCCAATAAATGAATGAACATTATTGTATTTATTCTAAAAAGAAATAGAAAAAAAGGAAAGATTCTGGCTTGTGATACTAACATCTGCATAAGTCAACAATGTTATTTTCTAGTTTGGAAGCCCTTTCATTCTTGTTGCTAGGATTATTCTAGACCTACCTGGGATTTAATAGGCTTCCCTATCACCTTTTTTGATGGCTGTGTAAATTACTTGACAATAACCATTGTTTTGTGGGCACATGGAAGAGCTATACTGTGTTTTTAAATGAAAACAAATAGCACCATTGTTATATACATTAATTATGTACATGTGCATGAGTTCATTCTTCAAGTGATACCAAAGAAGAAATCCAGTCCTCATGCAAATACAATCAATTACAGCACCTCTCTGCTATACTCTAAAACAAAGGTGTCAAACTTATATCATCACGGTAGTGTCACATGATGTATCGGGACTTTTTTTCCCCTTTGCAAAACTGGGCATGGGTGTGGCCAGTGCATGACACATCTGATCCGCTGGCCAGGAGTTTGACAGGCCTGCTTTAAAATAGTCTAACCCTTTTCAAGCTTCTTTATAAACCTGAGGAAAATATGTCATTACTTGAAGAAATGCACTTATTAATATTAAGAAGATTGTTAAGAAATCTAAAATACATTTTTCCTAACCATTTTCAAGTGTGCATAACCCATTACATACATAGATCTTATGGGCTTCCTGTGATGGCCATGGTAAGTTGATATTTTGAGGAAAATCACACATGGCTGCCGTATCTGGAGCAGTGAAACCTTCCAGAAGAAAGAAAGATTGCTAATATTATCCACATGACTCTGGACCATTACTTCTCATAAGTTGAACATGCAGACTGCCATTTTACAGTTGATTTATAAGTGGAGTGGCTAGAAGTTGAAATTTTGTCAAACTCATACTCCTAAAGCAGCCTTTTATGTACACTAAATTTTAGGCCCCATTTCTTAATCACTTTTTTGCTCTTTTTTGTGCATATTAGAAAGATTAAGACTGTTCAGACTGGCAATGTTTTACTGTTTTCATTGGTGAATTCTCTCATTAGAAAATGATGGCATAAATTTGATTCCAAAAGTTTTGAAAAATACATGATTTCTTGTATTACGGAGCTTAGTGTATAAATTTCAGAAAGTTAAAAACAGATTAAGGGACCAGAAGGATTTGGAATTATAACCTTGAATTAATTAAGACATTTTCTTTTGAGAAAATAGTGATTGCCTTTGTATTTTTATGATAAGGAGACCCTAAAGATAGAATGCTAGAGGGAGTTAGAGGATAAAGAAAATGGAGCAGAAATCTTTATTACCTTTTGATTCTTTCACCAAGATTCTTAAAAAAGTGGATGAATTTATTGACGAAATGAAAAGAGCACGTTACAAGGAAAATAAATCTGAAGGGAGATTTAAACGTAATACCAATGGAACTAATGGATCACTTACAGATAGTCCTTGACTTATGGCCACAATTGAGTCCCAAATTTCTGTTGCTAAGCAAGACAGCCATTAAGTCAGTTTTGCTCCATTTTGTGGCCTTTCTTGCCATAAGTGTTAAGTGAATCACTGCAGTTGTTAAATTAATAACACACTTTTAAATGAATCTGGCTTCCCCATTGACTTTGCTTGTCAGAAGGTCACAAAAATGATTACATGACCTGGTACACTGTAATGCTATAAATAAAGGATTGTCTTTGTGTGTGGATCATTGTAGGTCCTCTGGCTTTGAAAGGGTGATGAAGTAGGTAAGAGATGCCAAGAGAATGACTGGAGGAAAATGACGAGTGAACCTGATCGAGCACAATTAAAGTTCTTAATTTTTTCTTTGGAATATTGATAAAGGTGATGAAACATTTTATGTCCATGTTAAATTCACAAAGCACTGACTGGCAGCCTAGTCTAAGATGATTCAAATCCCTCCTGGATAAGAAGACTACAGAGTAATATTTACCTTGACATGCAGTCTTTCCCAACTATTAGGATAATTTCAAACCTGTTGACCCTGATAAAGTAAACAGAGTTCTTGGAGGTGTGAATTGGGCCACTTATGCTTTTAGATCCATGTCTCTCCTAAGTGGTCAAGGCAGCCCAGGATGTGATGTGCGGTTGGATCCCTCAAGAAAATAATGCTTCTTTGTGGGGCAGATGATGCCACCTTCTTTAGTTGGCCACTTGCTTTTCAAGGATCCATTGAAGAAACAGAATAGAAATGGGCAGGTTAGCTACCTGCTAGCAAGCTTACAATACTCTACATGGAACTGTCCTTCCTATTAAACATATGATACAGTGACATTTCACTGAAGATCTGTTGGAGGAGCTTTCATAGACATCTCATTGACCACACTGGCGATATAGACTTCAACTGATCCTGTGAGTGTATTCTTATAGCCTTAATACTTATCTCCCCCCCCCAAGCCTCATTTCCTAACTACTGTGCAGATTTCAGCTTCTCTTGGACATCTATTTTGGCTGCAGGATCGTCATTTTTTTCTCTTTTTTCTTATATACCTACAACTTTGATGCAGCTGTTTAGTATCCATTGGTCAGTGAACTGCACAACTATCCCAGCCCTGCTGGCTTCTTAATATAGCTTTTTCTCTTAGTTTCCTAGGAAAGTTGAATTGCAAGGGCCATTATGTTCACCCAATAAACTTAACCTCCTTCTGGAATTAATCTTGTTTCAGTTTTCAAGGTAACAACATGTTCACTAGGTCACACCTTCTCATCTTGGAAAGAATACATTGCACACAATGGCATATTCCACACAATGAAGACAATACATTCCACTGTTTGCATCATTGATGAAAGATCTATCTTCCTCAAATACAGATCTCTCCTGAAAGGAATTAGTTTCTGTGTGCTTTCTTCAGTTGCTCAGTTTTGAAGTAGGATGACCAGCCTAACTTTATAATTTTGCTTAGAAGTGGGCTTGATTTCAAGCTTCAGTAGAGGAACAGAAACCTCTTTCAAACTTCTGCACATCCCTACAGGGACAGTTGAGTTATCTGGGAATTGCCAAAATAAACTGAGCAGAAATTTTCTCCCTATTTTTTTCTTGTAGGCAAAATGCTCACTGTAAGATTAAGAATGGAACTTTGCCATTATTTGCAATTCTTTTACATCAGTAATAAATACATCAATCTTATATTTAATTATTTATTCAATAGTTCAGCCACATTAGTACCTCTTGCTTTTAATTAGATATCAAATCCAGAAAGAATGTTGTGCAATTTGATATAATAAAGCATAGCTAATCATCATATATGCTTATTTATGTTACCATAATCTGATGTTGGGACACAGGCCAGTTTACATGGGCAAAAGCTCAAGGATAATTTTATCAAAAATATATAAAGTATATAAATATGAAATGGTAAGGAACTTTTCTCACTTCAGAAATTTGGAAGAACAGGCAAATATATTGCCAGCTGACCTAAAAAGATATAAATACATTTTTTTAAAAGTCATTAAAATTAATGTAAGGAGTGAATATTCATTTTCTATTTCCAAGGATCAACAGAAGTCCTTTAAAAGCATTGAAACTCAGCATATCCTGGAATATTAATGAAGATATATTAAAGGCACTGATGCAAAGGGATATGAATCCATAATTGTGATATAATGCAGTGGTATGATGACATTACATTGACATAGGTTTAGCAGAAGGAAAGTAGAAATTATTAACTGCCTTAAAATTATTATTATCCCTTGTTCAGAGAAAAATAAGTGGCTTGCTATTGCTTTCTTCAGTTTCCCAATCTAGCCTGCAGCCCTGGACTTCTCTAGGGATCTCCTATCCAAATACCAAACAAGACTGAGCCTGTTTAGCTTATGAGCCCAGTCAAGGTCAATCAAGTGCTACCTCCTGCAGAGATAAGTTGGGCACTAAGAATGTGTAAAGCATTTCAATGTAAACTTACTCTGCCCTTGGAAAAGTCATTCCAAATCTGCCCATTTTCAAACAAACTATTTATCGTGAGCTTTGTTTTGAGGTCGAAAAAAAACATGAGGCAATTTCAGACTAGCTCCTCATTTAGTAATGATTATTATTTAATAGTGATACATTAGTCATTATTGCTGACTGAAATCATACATTTAAATCTAAGTGTCTGAACAGGGTACTATTTCTTTTTGAATTTATACTTTAAAAACATTATCCTTACAAAAGGAAATCTAACCCAGAAGGTTAAATCTTCTTTGCTGATATGAGTTTATGAAAAGGATATTATTCTGTGCCAATGTGACTTTAGTTTGACCTTGTAAAGTACTTGCAAATGGGTAATGAGCCCTCACTCCCAACTGCTGCACAACCTGATGATAACATTGTCTGACAGGTACCATGCAGCATAGATTTCCACTCCATGAGCAATCCTTCTACTGTCATTCCCAAAATTGATTTTTATTTTAAATCACTGGTGGGTTTTTGCCAGTTTATATGAAGTAAGGATGTACATTGAAACAGTTTTCAAAGCTCATGTAACTACAGATTAGAATTCTGTGCAAAAGAACTTCTAGAGATGTTAGAATAATAGAAAGAAAATCCACTGTGTATGTCACTAGTGGTAGGAATCCCATCAGCACCATTAAGTTTGTAGTATTAATCAAATCCTTCTCCTCCCCTCCCCTCCCTCTCCTCAGGAGCAATATACTATATTTGCTTTAATTTTAAACAACCATTCGGTCATAATCTGGTGAAAGACCTTCTGATAAATATCTTCCATATAACCTTGAGAAAGGATTAGTGAGAAGGCTGTGCATACGAGAGCACAACCTGTGTTCATTTCTCTCTGACTATGCTCAGTGAAGATGAAAACTCACATTTTATTCATCAATCATACCCATGACTCACTGTGTGTTCAGTGAGGTGATTGTTTTTGGCCCCTATATCTTACAGTTTGAACCTAGGATGGCATTCTATAAAGGTAGGTACAGTCTGGCCAAAGCTGCAATCATTGGGAACAGTGTGACCATCCTGGTTCTCCTTGATCTCTCAGTTGTTTTCTGGATAGACTTTGGGGATTGGAGTAAGAGGCAAGGGGTTGGGAGTGTATGAATCCTTTCTTCTGAAGATAGAGTTTGAACCAGAAATTGGCCTTCTCTGCCTGCCCTTCGTATATCCTTGAGATTTGGATGGCCAAACTTTTAGGCTTTTATAATACTTTAAACACTTTTTTCCCCACCCAGTGTTAGAGAAGGGTCTCGGAAGTGCTTGCCTGAAAAATTGGTTGTGGATTTTGAATATGTTGTGTTTGGCTTCTACTTGGATTGTTTATATTGTGTTGTTTGGTTCTTTTAAGTTTATTTCTTACCTTTAAAAAAATCCTCATGCTCCGAGTCAATTTTACAACTTAGGGAACTATACAAATCAATCAGTCAACCAATCAGTCAATGGCATAAATAAATAAGCAGATGAATTGTTTAAGATAGTTGACCTGCTTCTTTTCCAGTTATTATTTATTACTTTTGGTCTTTTTTGAAGTCTCCAGAAACTAAAGATATTTTTTAAAACTCTAGTAGTGATCATTAATAGGCCTGGTTATAAACTTTGCTGCAGGAAAGAAAGGACACATTTAGGATTCCAGTCATTCAATTTCACCTTAATTTCACTCTCCTCTCCCCAGAAAAAGGCACTTTGATTCCATGGCTGTTAAGCAACTTCAGTTCATTTGGCTTCTATAGATAGGATTGTCTCCCTCCCTCCCTCCCTGCAAGAGTTTTCTTTCTTTCCAAGCTGCTGATAGGTTGTATTCATGGGTCTCAAGGCTATTCTTGAAGCTACATAAGTAACTCCAGTAAGCAAATGGACATCATTCTTATTCCATATTAATAATAATGAAAATAATAATGATGCTCTTAGTTCTTATATGCCCACTTAGGCAAAATATTCCCCCTCTGCCCCCAAAAAGACAGGAAGGAGGTAGTTAAAGTTAAAAACAAATGAGAACATAGCAGAAGTCACTTATGTGTTAATGGAAAGAAATACATTATAAATAAGCAAAGTAGTCCCTAATAGACTTTTTATCTATCACAATGTTTGTGTTGTGTAATCTTTATTGCTGTGATAAAGCTTATCCAGAGAAGAAATTTAGGATTAACCTCTCAGTTTAATTTATGTCCTTCTTTTTGCTAAAAGACAGCAACTTTCCCTTTATTAAATCAAATCAAGAAAGCATTAGTGTGAATAAGCATTTGTCTGCAAGTGTGAATAAGCATTTGTCTGCATCTTCCTGTTCACCTTTCCAGCAGAATATTTTATTTATTTATTTATTTATTTGATTTGCCAATTGTTTACAAGATAATAAGTATAAATGTATACATAGTTGTGAATACATGAAATGGGTACATATAAGAAAAATAAAAGAATAGGAGAAACAATAGGACAGGGACGGTAGGCACGTTGGTGCGCTTATGCACGCCCCCTACAGACCTCTTAGGAAAGGGGTGAGGTCAATAGTAGACAGTCTAAGGTTAAAGTTAATAATAGGCTTAAAGCATTTTCAAGTAGTTAAATGAGGATAAGGTTGTGATTAGCTGGTAGTATAGGCAAAGCTACAGAGTGCACGTTTTAGCCCTCAGTCTAACCAGGGAAAATAGGAATGAGATTCTACCTACTGTATACTCTTTCTGTAGCCTACTGGGTTAAACCTACAAGCTCCGACTACAAAAGGACAGACAAGTTTCCTTTTTGCCTGCACTAGTCTGCTGGATTGCAGAGACAAAAGGGAAGTGAGTTGAGTTGTGACAGGTGACTGTCACAAAATTTGCAGGAAGATTGTTGACAGGATGTCAATCTTCAGGTTGAAGATTCACAGGGACTTGGAAGAAACATTATCTGAGCCCTTTTAAATCTGAGTCCAGGCTGGGATACAATACAGAGACAATATTGATGATATTTGTCGATGAGTTCTGGCAGAGCAGGATGGGACAATGTCACTGTACTGGTTCTGTTTGAGCTCTAGTGGCTTTTGATACCATCCATCATGGTATCTTTCTGGAATGATTGATCTGTGAGAGGCCTGTGTTATAATTGTTGTTCTCCTTTCTCTGTGGTTAGCTGATGGGCAGGTTAACCTGACTTGTGAATTGACTTGACACTCTCCTCCCTCTCCCCTGTTTAAGTTCTACATGAAACAACTGATAAGATCTGATCCACACCCATCTGTACCTCTCATCTCCAGGTTAATCAGTGATGCTGTCAAAGTATTTTCCTGGTTCCTGAAGGCTTATAGGATTTGGATGGGGAGTAAGAGCTCCACTCTTTTGATTCTGATGTTTTGTTAATAGCTCCATTAAGGATAGCTGGTCCAATCTTCCAAATACTCACAGAAACATGGAATTGTAAAATAACCCAGTTGTGAGCTACTCTCAGAGCACTTTTCTTCCTATGTCTACATCTGAGATCAGGGATCTTATTATTCAAGTGGATTGTAGATAAACTCAAATAGGAGATTTTATTCCCCCAGAATTACATTATTTCTGGAACTAATGCTGGTTGTTTAACCATGTAACAGTTATAAACCCATATAAGTGCCCAGCACATTTCTCTACTAACTCGGCATCCCTCTTCCCACCTTAATCCCTGTTTATGAAAACAAAGATAATCGACTACACCTACCAATTATAGGACCATAAATCTGCTTAATATGATCAGCAAACTATTTGCTAAATACTCTTATCTCAAATTACTTAATTGAGTTGAAAGTGAAAACATTCTCATTAAGGAAAAGGTTCGAATCAAAGGAGATTAAGAAATTCTGGATTTATGATTGGCTTGTTCCCATTCAGCCAAATAATATTCCTCTTCACCCAGACATTTTGTTTTTGTAACCTTCATTTCAAATCAGCTTTTGATTTAATCCCAAGGGAGTGGCTGTGAAGAAAAATGAAGAGATTCCCCTATAAGCAAAAGATTGCTTCTCAGTTCTTCTAACACCTTTTAAAGAGTTAGGGGCATTTTGCCAGA